AGCAGGAAAGGTTCTGTCAAATTTGCTATGTAAGACTCTGTCGAGTTGTTTTCTAAATTTTAACTAGCAACGCAGAATACATTCCTCTAGCCATTTCTCTGAAGTTTTCAAAGCAAAGAAACTGCATACACTGAATAGCATTTAATACACAACCTTAATTGCTGCTAATGTAGACAGTGCTTGTATGTTTTTGCCATTAAGATTATATTTTACTTGCAAAATGAATTTGGAAATAATCACAAAACAGTTGAGGACCTCCAAGAATAACTTTCCAGACCACATAAAATACTGCATTAAATCCAGAGTTATTTTTTAAACCTGCCTTGACTTGCATTGCCTCTGACTGATCAGTCGGCTTCTTACGTAGGTTGCTTTGATTGAAAATCCTCCTTTTGCCAAGGCAGTACTCTCTCACTGCCTCTGTTCCTGAAAACTTTTGGTCCCCTTTGACTACTACCATATGGCATAGTTGTATTGTTGTCACCCACTAATGCTGCACAGTATTTTTTTTTGCTTTGATGGTGTTTGCTGCCACCTTGAGTTCTACCACGTTTATGGTGAAGCTTGCTTAGCCGGTAGGAAAAAATACTTACTACAAATGATGTTACATAAAAAGCCTAAATACTATTTCAATTATCTGAATTGAAATTATCTTGCATTCTCAGGCATATACTGTTCTGTAAGGAATGTCCTTACCTGCACACCTTCAGCCCAACCAAGATACATTAAAACTCCAGGCATTACAGAAATATATCCTGCTTTGAGGTCTAAAAAGAAATTGAAAAAGTGTACACTACAAATACAGCACAGGCTAGTCTGCTCCAGTAACTTTCCTTGTTTGCTTGTTTTCGGGGGGCAGGGAATGGACACCATTCCTGCATGAAGAATTATGACTAACTCATTCAAGAAGCCAGAAATAAAATATCAAAAATTTATCCCCTATGTAGTGAGTTTTTGCTCCTTTCAAGGAGAAGGTATTTTTAGAGAGAGAGTAGGAAAGCTTGGAACAATTGCATTAGCTGTCAGCAAAAATATTGCTGCCTAAACCTCATATTTTAGGGTGGAAATTATTTTAACTGAAAAATCTGTGGGTTTTTTTCCCTCCGCTTCTTTTTATAAATGAGACTAGGTTTTTGTAAATGATGTTTTAGCATTTGTGTTTTATTCCTCTGTGCTCTCCAGGAGTAAAAGTAGCACAGGAAGTCCTGTC